ACCTTGTGGGGCACTTCTGGGCTGGTAAAGGACTTCCACATACCTCGTCTCATGCCCCACCCACTCCAATCTCCCCAGCAGCCTGCAGGGCAGGTCTGGAATCTCAGTTCACAGATGAGAAAAGGGGCTCAGGGAGTTTAGGAGAGTGGCTCAGGCTTCCCCCACCTGTAGGTACAGAGCCGGGCACATAGCCAGGAACCCTGGCCAAGACCCAGACTTTCCCTAGCTTATCCCTGGGTGCTGTCATCTGCAGGCGCCAACAGCAGAAAGAAGGGGTGGGAGTCTATGAGGAAGGCAGGAAAGGGAAAACTTCCTTTCTCATCCTGGGGGTCTAGGGCAGTATCTTCCCAACTAGCCACCCCCACCCCATCGCCATCCCTGCTTCAGTTAGAGGGGGCAGGGAGGGGCAGGTCCTCAGTAGCTGGGACCCCAGGAACAGGTAGGGGAGGATGCCATAGGCCAGGCAGCTGACCCGGGTCAAGCAGAGGCCCCAGCATCTGCATTGACATCATAGTGCCCTGAAGGGACGTGCTGTCTTCACACAGTCTTCTCTGGCTCTCACAACAACAGGCGAGGGGGCGGGGAGGAGCCAGAGGCCTCTGCTCCCCCCTCCCTGCGTCCCTCCCAGTCACTGGGCTGGAAACATGAGCTGAGCAGAGTCAACAGTTCCTTGAATTGTGTTACAGCCTGTGGCCTGCCAGCTCCGGAGCTAATAATATGAACAGATGTGGGTCACACAACTCCATCCCCTGGCCTGAATCCTGCCTGACCCCATGACCCCAGGCTGCAGTGAGGTGGGCTCCAGTTCTGGGGTCCTGGAGGTGAGGCTGGGTCTGGGGGGGACCTGTTTGTTCAAAGCCCACCCTGGTCAGGCTTGCAGCCATAGACTCCACAGTTGACAGAGGCCACATTAAGGACTAAATCGGTGAGTTCTGTAGGATGATGATAATTATAATAAAAAACTTTAAATGATATAAATGAAAATTACTTCTTTATGTATAATTTTAAAATTATAACAACAACAAAAAGAAATGATAATGTCCTTTACAGCTGAGACTTGAAGCCTGATCTCAGGATTTTGTGGCCAGTGCTTCAGTGCTGAGCAGGGACCAGGGGAATCTGAGGCCCAGAGCTGTCCAGAGAGAAGTGGCCCTGAGCACTACCTGTAATCACTCAAATCCTGGGGCTTACAGCCTGACTGCCACCCAAACAGTTGCAATCAGTCTAGTGGTGGCAGTGGGAGGTTGTCTGACCTGCATGGTCCAGGATACCATCCTCAGCACCCAGGGCCACAGGTAGCAAAGCCTGACAGCAATGACCCTGAGGCCTGTGGCCAGGGCAGCACTGGGGCAGCCAAGGGACAGAGCTGGGTCTGAGTCCAGGAGTGGGTGGTGCCACCTGGCAGAAGCCTGAGTGCTGGAGAGAGTATCCTCTTCTACTCATCAGGGTGGTGACGGCTTCAGGACAGGGATCAGAGGTCCCTTTGAGGATGAGCACTGTTAATGATTCTCACACCAGCCCCTGGTACACTTGTCCTCACTCAGGGAGAGGAGATATGGGCATTTTCAGCAGGACTCTGCCTCCCCCAAGAGGTAGGGACAAGGTGCCACTCAGTGCTTACCCACAAGAGACTGCACCTCCTCCCACTGTCCAGCCCTCTGTCCCAGATGGGTACAGCTCACTTGAGCCCTCTTAGGTCTGGGAGAAGTGTCCCTGGTCCTGTGAGTCTATAGTTGCAAAACTCGCTATAGGACTACCCTGGGCAGGGTTGGTGAGGTGGAGAAAGCTTCAGAGGGACAGCCACAAGTGGCTATCAGAAAGGTGGCTGGGTGGGCACCTTTGTTCCTTCAGCAGTGTTCATGGAGGCCCCACTTTGTCTAGACACTGTGGCTGCAGCACTGAACAGAACAGACAGGTGGGCCCCAGACAGGCCCTTGCCTTCCCGGGGGGTGAGGCCTTCGTCTAAGAACTGCAGGAACATCTCCAGTGTCACACTGTTCAAGGAGGGGCCAGGCTGAGGCTGTGGGAACAGGGCAGGCCTTCCGGAGGAGACAGGGTGGAGGAGCAGCAGGGAGGCTGCTGGCAGAAGGAACTGGGGCAACATGTGAGGAGAGGGTGGGTGGAGGTGGCTCCAGAGGGCATCGGGGTCAGAGCATGAGAGCCCTGCCAGCCACCTGGAACCAGGAAAAGGACCTCACTGTGTCACTCTGGCCTCCACTTTCCCCATCTGTAAATACAGATCGCCAATATACTTCTGTGCTGCTCAGGCTCTGTCTCTTGGGCCCCTCACTGTGTCCATTGGAAAAAATGGCAACAATCCACTCAAGGAAGGCAAGCTGCTGCAGAGGCCTGAAGGCCCTGAGCCTGACCGCTTGCCCTTACTGGCACCAACTCTACTGGGGAACTGCACCCTGCCCTCCCCCAGGAAAAGCCCAGAGAGTCAGGGCTAGAAAAGGTAGCCCTGATCTCCCTGGGACTTTGTTTAGACCAAATTGTCCAAGGGGAAGTGAAGAAAGAGGGACAAGGTGTGGCAGTCAGACCTCCCACTCTCCTCCCAAGCAAACCCCCAACCCCTGGGGTCTGGGAGGACTGCTTGGCCACAGGGGTCCTAGAGAGTGCCTCCCCCATATCCCTTGTCTTGTATGGTCCCTGGACCTTTATTTCGTACTCAAATGGCTCTGGGGCTATGGAAGCAACAGGAGGCCTGGGCCCTGTTCCTGGCGAAACCTCCCTCCATGCAAAACTGGGGGGAGGGGGTGATGGTGTGACGGTGTGAATGCTCCACCCACACAGGCCTCCAGCTTTGCCAGTCCCCTCTGCCTCCATCCCCCACCTCCTCAAGGCCAGCCTTAAGGATTGCTTGCTCTTGTCAGTCTCCCTGAGTGCAGGGTTTCTCGTCCATTCATTCCCTGTGAAATTCTTTCTCTGCCCATGGCCACTGGGTGTGACTGGCAAGGTGACAACTATAGATTGGGGACCTGGCCCGTGTAGTTCCCCGAATGCGGTCACTTCCGTACTTTCCCAGCTCCAGGACTTTGCTCACACTGTCCCCTCTGGCCAGAGTGCCCACTCTACCCCAAGCCCTGCCCTCACTCCCACCTCCTTCCCAGATGCCAGTCCCTTTATCAAGAGGCCCCAGCCAGAGCTGCTCCCACCTGCTGCCTGCCAGGCTCCCAGGTTTGTTTGTATCAGTCCTCTGTGCCCTGGGGTCTGTTGAACTCTGGCTCCTTCCCCGCCCACAGCCCCTCCAGGGCAGGCCATGTCTCAGTCACCTTTGTGGTTTCAGTGCCTGGAATGGGACTTGACACTTAGTTGGTGGGTCAGTTAATCTTTTTCATGTAGTGTGCTATCTATGTGATAACCCTTTCTCTCCTCACAAGGTGAGGACACTGAGGCAGAAGGACGTTAAGTGACAGGCCCAAGGCCAGCCAGTAGATGGATCCAGCCCAGGCAGTGGGGCTGTGGAGTCCGCAATGAATCCCAACCGATCTCCTATGCTGCCTTTTGGAGGTGATGCCAACTGAGGGAAGTTGCCCTGCACACGAGTGGACACCTTTGCCATTGCCGGGAGAGTGCACCTACTTCTATGGGCAGCTCATCTCCAGCCCAAGCCCCTAGATTAAGTCCAATTTTCCTTAGTGTGGCCCTTCTTCCCTTTGGAACTCAGCTCCCACCACTCTACTTGGCACAATTTTTTTTTTTCTTGAGAACAGTGAGTTTGGGTTCAGCGAATATTTGCAGAATGATTGCTTTGCTTACTCCCCACCCCCTCACCCCCAAGACACACAGTTTCATGAAGATCCTTGGTCATCTTGGTCATGGCCTTCCCTCCCCCAAACCTGTTTCCTGCTCTGGAACAGCCTCACCCAAATCGCATGGTGTGACATCTCGTGAGCATTCTGAGTTGCTCCAGAACTGAGGCTGTGTCCCAGTCTGTTTACCTGTCTTGGCACTGCTGTTTGTGTGTCTCCCCTAGAAAGCCAGGTGACTTTGCCCAGCAACCAGGGTGGGGATGAGGTTACAGTTGGGCCGGGATGTGTGCTCCTTGGGGGCAGCCTGGGATGAGGAGATAAGTTGGCAGATCCCAGGAGCTTGGATGGGCTAGAGGTTTTGCCACCTGACAGTGGGTGGGGACACTTGTCAAAGGCTCTTTTTTGCAGCAAACAGTTGGAGTCCGTCCAGCACCTTCTGGCTCGCTGAGCTGCATGCTGAGGGCAGGGGGATGGGTTGGGCAAATGGGGGTGGCAGGGACTGCCCCTGCCAACTGCAGTTAACAAGTGGCAGCTCGCAGACCAGGCAGGGCAGGCTGCGGTGACCCTGAGTGGGACAGCCAATGAGCTCCCAGGCTGCGGTGGCACCACTAGGCAGCCTGCCTGTCTTTGGCTGGAGAGGCAGCGGGAGGGGCCTCGGGCCGCCAGTAAGGGCTGCAGGGCCCTGTTTCTGGGAGGCCCTGGGCAGATCTGCTGCTCCATTCACGGGAAGCCCCACTGGAGCTGCCTCATTTTTAACTTTTCCAACCTTCTAGGGGAGGAGGGCAGGCTGTGGGGGCGGTGTGGGAAAGATGGCTGGGAAGACTGTGCAGCCAGAGATGAAAAGAAACTCGGAGAACTTTTCCCCTGGCCCTGCACCCGGAGTGGGCTAGAGCTCTAGGCTGGGGAGAAGGGAGATCTGGAACCATTTTTTGCTCACAGCAGGCCTGATGGAATCGAAGGAATCGGGGGAGCAGGAACAAGGAAAAACAGAGGTTGTGATAATATCCCAGTTGCCAACTCAGGACTGGTACCGGGGATCCCAGGGTCCTGGCTTGAGTCCCTTACCCTTTGCCTGGATGGAGTCAGCCCTGGAACATTGGTGCCCTATGTGGCTGTCAGCTGGGGCAAGGGGTGAGGGGGACATTCAGTCATCCCAAAAACTCTTTGTGGGATGTCAGTAGCAACAGGGGTTTGTAGGGAGCCCCCCCCCATTTGCCCCCTTGCTCAAAGCAGACCCACCACAGCCAATCACATAATAAACATATTTATAGATGTACAATTTCAGAATTCTAATTTCAAGAAATACAGCTTCTCAGGGGATCCTTTAGGATCTATGTTCTTATTGCACATGGCTCAGACTGTCTAGGGACAGCTACCAAGACCAGCTGTCGGGATGGTGGGGCAGAGTGCCAGGGCCACTGTGGTGGGACACCGTTGCCCATGTCCAGTTAACATTTCTCTGGGCCGGGGTGGCCACTTCATCACAGGGCAGGATCTTGTTCAAAAACCAGATTTGACATTTCTTTACCAAACTTCCTTTCCCACCAAGAACCTGTTTGTTGGGGAACTTTAAAAAGAGCCAGGAGAAACTCTGGGAGGATGGTTATCACCTCCTGGCTGGCAGCTTGGGGAAGTAAGGCTTTGGAAGATGGCAGGCTCAAAGACACACCCACCGCCAGAGGAAAATTCAGGGGAAAAATGGTAATTCCAAAAGGCCCAGCTGAAACTGTGGGAATAAATAAAACCTCCCTTCATTCCCCTGGCAGCAACTGCTGTTTTGAGAAAAATCCTCATTTGAAGGTGAGGATAAGAAAACCCTCCTGATTCAAATACATCCTTTGTCCAAAGTGCAAGAGAAGGCCAGGTGGCGTCATGTCCATGGAGGGCAGAGACAGATGTGCCCACAGGCAGACTTTCTTCAGGAGTAAGCTGCTGCCCTGGGGTCCTGGTACCAGCTGGCTGACTCTTGGAGGAAGAGCCTTCTAGAGTCCTTGGTACACGACTCAGGAAAAACCAGTGGCAACCATGGAGCTGTGCGCCCTGTGGCACCTATAAGGCAAGACTCACTCAGGGACTAAGGGGGCGAGGCGAGGTGGCTAGGCAGAACCTGGTCCCTCCACAACCTTGCTGTTCTCTGGCAGGGGGTCAGAGGGCTCCTGGGCACCAGGACAAAGAGCCCACCTGAGCTGGCCAAAGCTTGAGGTGGGTGACCTCACCCCAGGCCATCTGGGGCCTCTACCATGACTCAATACTGACCTGGCACCTGGCCCTAAGGGCACTTTCTCCCCTCAAACTTAACCATAAATCTGGCAACCTTCAAAAACTTCCCACAGATTTACACTATCATGATTGCTGCTGCCATTAAAACCAGGCTGGCTGAGGGGAATGTTAAGAGCTGACCCGACTTTTCTCCTGCTGTCAGCTATGGCTCATGTCTAGCCTGTGAGGGACCAGGTTGCCTTCCCCAAACAGTCCGTTTTCTAAAACAGGGAAGAAATCAACTAAACAATTCACCAAATCCCTGCAGTTTGAAAAGTAGACTATATATCTATATATATCTTTATATATGCTATTTACATATAAATAGATATATATACATATACACGCATCTATACATTACATTCTCTGGAAAGTTCTTTCCTCCTCTATCCTTTGCCTACGCCTCTGACTGGATTCCACTGAGAGGTGACTGGTGGTGGCTCCTGGGAGGGGGAAGAAAGGCAGTGGGGCGCCCCCTCCCCCAGCCCTTCCCACAGACATTTGCTACAAGTTTTACATTCTGCTTTCGTTGCCATGGTTTCTGTATCCTAGGAGAGAGCCGATGTGGAGCCTGAGCCTCTTCGGAGCCTGAGCCTCTGCCAGCCCTGGGAGGAAGGGAAGCAGGCCCGTGGCAGGTTTTCCTGTCTGTCCTAAGAGCTTTCTGCATTTACTGGGTGAGAGAGAGGACAGTTGTGTGGCGTTCGGCCTCCAATCCATTTTAATGTTTTTTGTTTTTTCCTTTTTATGTCTTTCCTTAAATATACAGTCTGTCACCTTGGCTCAGTGCATGTCACCAAAAATTCTCCAGGGATTTCATGGTCTGGGGAGGAGAGTGGAACAGTTAGCTTGGCAGTCACGTGTCCAGTCTTTAGCTTAGCCTACACAAACAAGCAACCCTCTTGTCACTGTCCTGCCCACCTGAGCTGCGCCCAACTGCCCTCCTGCAGTCTGCTCTCTCTCCTGGAGGCACAAGCAAACAGCCTCAAAGTATCGAGTCTGTATCTGGATCCCTGCTGAGGGGACCCAGGCAGAGGGATGGACAAGGTACCAACAGGAAAAAGAACTTATACTGGCCCTGCCCACACTCCTCTGGGGTTGGTCCAAGTTGAACCCTCTGGCAAATGCTGGAAGCAGAGCCCACTACCCACACAGGAGGCAGGTTGCCTGATACCAGCAACTTTCGTTTTCCCCCACCCTCTCTGTGCTGAGAGCTCTGCATTCTACCCTGAACTCATGACCTTCTGTTCCCTTCCTCAGACCACAGGTGAGATGCCTGGGAAGGCCAGATACCTGGGGCTTCCAGGCTGCAGCTGCAGTAGCATGAGACACAGTGACAGACAAAAGACAAGAGAGACAGTGAGAGATGGACAGAGACTAGAGAGAGACAGAGACACAGACAGAGCCAGCCTCTGATCCAACCAGAGGGAGTGGTCAGGGTGCACAGGCCTCTCCTGTTTCCAGCCTGTTGGCTCCCTCCCCTGCTCTTTGTCAGGCTCCCATCTTGTTCTATGTCCTACTGCCCAGAAGAGCAGAGGGAGAGGAAGGGCTCTTGGCCTAACCGTTCCCACATGGTTCTTAAACACCAGGGTACAGAGAAGAGTCTGCTGCACTTGGGAAAGGGCCGTCGTGACCTGATGGCTGGAGCAGACCAAGGAGGCACAAGTGGCTCTCAGTAGCAGCCTCAGGCTCCCCTTCTGCTTGGCTCTGGGGTACTCCACAGCTCGAGCCGAGCCAGGGAGTAGGGTGGGGGTGGGGCAAAGAGTAGAGGCCTGAAGCAGACCTGTTTCCAAACACCCCAGAGCTGCCCCAACTCTGCAGCTGGTGGTCAGGCTGGGGACAAGGAGTCTGTGCCATTATCACCAGGCTCTCCCCCTCTCCCCCTCCCACCCCCCTCTGCCTCATGACCAGGGCCAGAGCTGCCGGAAGTTGCAGGGCAGGGGCGGCCCTGGCTCATACTTGGACCTCAGTAGCGTGGCTGGCCCAGGACTATCCATGCAGGGAGGCCTGCACCTCTGACAGTCGGTTACAGCTTGGGGTGCTCATCCTCTGTGCTTTGTGGTACATATCTGTGTCGCCAAAGTAGCGGGCCCGGTATAACAAGCCTTCCTCTGCAAAGCAATGGGGCAGGGTTAGAACACACGTGGTACCTCCTGAAGCCCGCTAGGGTACCTGTCTGGCCTGTGGGGACAGGAGGAAGGCTGTTATAGGCCCAGGAGCTGGGGCAGAGGACCTTAAAGGAGGACCCTGAAGGAGGAAAGACTATGGTCCCAACTTGGGGTGGGGGTGAGGCCAACCAAGGTAAGAACCTGTTATCCTGGTCAGTCTGCCCCAGGGTCCCACAGATAGAGCCAGACGTCCAATCAGTGGGTGCCCATGAGATCTGCTCCAATCTCTGTCGACATACGTGCCTCTGGCAGCCAAACAACAGGCTGACTGCAGTGACTTACAGGAACCTGGAGGAAGTCTCCAGGTGGCCCGTGGCTCTTGGCTCCAGGGAAACAGAGGGGTGGAGCCCAGCTCTAGACTGAGAGGTAGGTGGTGCAGGGCAGTGCAAGGTGCTGGGCCCACAAACCACTGGGCAAGTAGGGCTTTCTTCTTCCCTGTTCTCAAGCCCTGTGCCCCAGCACATGCACACTCACTTTGCTGCTTCTCCTTCCAGCAGTTGTTTCGGAGGTTAGCAATATAATCATCTTCCACGTTCCGCTCCACTGTTTTTAGGCTGGAGCCTGTGTACTCCTCAGAGAAGGTGTCTGCCACGTAGTAGACGACGTTCAGGTGGTCAGTGACTCTCTTATGAATGTGGCCCACCGACCTGGCCAGAAATATACCAGGCACAAAGTAAGCATGGGCCCCAAGCCCAAGGTAGCTCTGGGGATGACAAGGCCCCTGACAGGAGATGTCACACAGGCCACAGGGGTAGTTGCCTCCCTCCCAAACTACAGCAGGAACTTGCACACTACCCAGAGTGAGGGTCTGAAGAAAAGCAGGGTGTCCCTCCTGTCCAAAGGGCCCAGCCAACGGCGAGCGCTTCCCATAGACAGAGCCAGCCTTCCTCAGGCTCCGTGCTTACCATGCTGTAGACTCGGGGGACTTTGGTGAGAAGCCCCTTTCTGAGAGGCCCAGTCAGGAAACCAGGGAACCTGGAGTGAGTCTGGGCTCCCTCTCTGATGAGCTGTGTGACTTGAGCTCCTTGTGCCTCCATTTTCTCATTCATCCCCTAAGACAATTCTTGCTGAGGGCCTGCCTGGCTATTCAGGAGCTCCTAGCCTACAGTTAAGAGGCTTAGGAACAAAACAGGATCCAGCTCTTGGATTTTATGTTCCAGCTCCAACTGCAGGCTCACAGGTTGTGGGAAGAGCCTCAACACGCAGACAGGAGTGAGTGCTCCAGGGAGGACAGTCTACCTACTTGCCCACTGCTGCCTGTCATCTTTCCAGCTGCAGAGAAAAAGCTGCCATCAGGCCACAAAGAGCCTGTGTGGGCTGGTGTGGGCCCAGTGGACCGACTCTGCCCCCTGCTGGCTGACAGGGATGCTGCCAGGCTCCCAGGCAGAGCCAAGCTGCTAGGTGGGAGTAGAGGGCCTCCACCAATAGAAGCTGAGCACCCCCTGTTCATCAGATACTGTCAGGTGCCAGAAATAAATGAGGGGAGCTGACACCTTACATGGTCAAATAACTTGCCCAAGTTCACTGTTGGCAATTGAGTCCATATTCATTCAATAAATACTGTTGAGCATTTCCAATGAGTCTGGCATTTTATTACTCATTTAATTTTCACAAGCAGGTAGATGTTGTTGTTCCCATTTTATAGATGAGGAAACCAAGGCTCAGAGAAGTTAAGTAACTTGTCCAGGGTCACAAAACTGCTTAGTTAGTAGAGGAGCTGGAATTCAAAGCCACCTTTGCTCTGTCTGACTCCAAAGCCCCTGTTCTTTCCATGGCCCTAAGGCCCCCACTCCTAACATAAGAGCAGAGATTCTTATCTCAAGGTCAGGAGATTGGGGGGGGGTGTGTGTGTCATAAAGCCTGTGAAATCATATGCAAAATTGTGCTTATGTGCAGGGCTCTAAGAAAAAGATCTGCATTTTCTTAGGGAACTGAGATCCTGAAAAGATCAAGAACTTCTACTTAATAGGGAAAGTGTATTTTCTTGTTTCTAAGCCAGCTTTATGCATTATGATCAAAACTCTGCAGGATGGGAAGCAAGGCTCCTGATGGTGGATGAAACTCCAAAGTTCCCACCTGCTCCCCCCTCCCCCTCCCAGGTACAGGTACTCACGGCCTTGGGCTCAGGCTGTAGGGTGGACTGGAGACCATAAGCTGGCTCAGAGCTGACACGAGGATCAGGATGAGGATGGGCATCAGTTGGACAAATACCCCCAGCCCGCCCTGGAGGGAAGAGCCGATCGAAAGTCATCCAAGCCAGACCGAGTGGAATGTGCACCCACCACCATTGCCACCAGCTCCCCCCAGCACAGTTAGCCCAGGCAGTGGGAGGTAGTCACTGTGCAAACAGGCCCCGCCACCTGCCAGAAACTAGTGCTAAATACAGGAGGAAGGTGGGTATATGCATTAGTGAGAAAATACCAAAAAATGAGCAAAAGTGGCTGCCTCCAGAAGAATGGGAGGCAGAGCTGGAGGGAGACTTTCACTACATATACCTTTTCCAATTTTAAACCATACAAATATATTACCAATTTAAAAATTGCCAGTTAAAAAACTATAAAAATAAATTTGTTCACTGTATAGTAATTTATAATTTTAAAACTCTTCTGTATGTTAAATATATACAAAATAAAAATTTTAAAATAAAAAACGCATAAGGCTACACTGTCAAAGCAAAAGGGAACCCCTCTGCCTGCCACAATTTTAAATGCTCTGCAACTGTCCTCAGTGTTTTAATTTTAGTTAGGTAGCTGTTCTTGCAGCATTCGAAGTGTGTTTGAAGCACTGTCTTGATATAGCTTTGCATACATTTCTTGAGTGCCGGAAAGACAAGAGTCAGCACCTATACTGTCATCCTTTATAATTCTTTCATGAAGCTTAGCTTCCCATTGCTTGAAAAATGTTGGCCTTATGAACAAAGGCTGTTCACATTGGAACCTGTCTGTAGGTGGAAAACATTCTGCATTACATTCTCCAAAACAGGCCATCAAACCCCACTCCTAGTGGGCAATGTGAAGTGGGCTCCCTCTGGTGTCGCTCAGGAGAATGGCAAGGGAGGCCTAAGATGGCTCCTTGCTGAGAGTTGTGGGAACGCTGCCATCCCAGAATAGACAGCTGAGCATGTCACTACCCCTCCAGGCCCCACCCCTCCTCTCCCCAGCACCTTCCTCACTCACGTCACCCTGGTTGTCCCTTCGATCCTGCCTTTGCTGGTAGTTATAGCGCATACGGCCATTGCTGTAGACATGGACGTTACCTGCGGGTAAGAGGGATTGAATCAGGAGTGAGACTGCTGGGGAAGGGAGAGGCTGGCATCCAGTCTCCCACCTTCACCCTGCTGAGACCTGGCTGTGGGGAGGGTGGGGGGACTTACTAGATGGGAAGCCACCGCCGAAGAACATGTTGAAGAGGTCTTCTGGGGAGATGTCAGCCTCAAAGCCACGGTGGAAGTCCCCATGCCCATGGCCATGCCGGGCTGCCTGGCTCTTGTCATCACCAAACTGGTCATACTGCTTCCTCTTTTCTGGGTTGCTAAGTACTGCATATGCTGTGCCAATGGCTGGAAAGGTGGTAGAAAAGTCAGATCTGGGGACGCTGGGGTGCGGGTGACACGGCTCCTACGGCAGTCAGCAGCTCACTTCCTTCAGTGGTGCTTAGGAAGCAGGAGTCCATGGGGCCAGTGGGAAGTTCGGCTATTAAGCAAGTGTGTGTGTGGGGGGCATGCGAGAATATCTCTAAGTGAACCTGGGCAGCCCGGGCTGGGCAGAGGATTAACATGCAGGCTCCTCGCTCTCCACCTCATGATGAGAGTCCAACTTTTTCTGCACACCAGGCCCTTATAGGCATTATCTTAGCTACTCCTAACAGCAACCTCATCTCCATTTTACTAACAAGAAAACAGAGGCTCAGAGAGGTTAAGGGTAAGCTCATAGAGCTCTGATGTTGCGGAGTCAGGAGTCAGACCCAGGGGTCTCGCTTCAAGTTTGCTCTCTGATTTCATGAATCCACCCCCCACCTCCATTCCTCTCTCTTGAGGTGCCCAGTGGATGGGGCATTTCTTTCTGGAAGTTATGTAATCTTGAGGTCACAGTGTGACCTAAGGGCCAAAAAGATATACGATGTCCTGTTGTCAACTGGAAGCAGCAGGAACTGCAGGGCAAGTAAAAATCCCTGGTTCCAGTCGAGGCTCCTTATCTGCTGGTAGTGTGGCCTGGGCGAGGAGCCCTCTCTTCCCTGGGGTCCAGGTCCCAGGTGCAGTTCCTCTGCACTGGGGCCTTCCCAGTAGAGCTCGCCAGGTGGGAAGCTTGGACTTCAAAGGTCCCCAGCTCCAGCCTCCTGAGTCTCTTGCTCCCTCTCAATTGGCCACTCTCTCACAGGAGAGGGTCAGAGCTGCACCTGCTTCAGACCCTGCAACCCCTGAGAATGAGGTGAATGCCCCTCCTCCTCCCATTCCCACAAGGCTCACAGCCAGGTGTGGCCTCTCAGTGCCTGCTGGGGGAGGCTGCAGGCAGAGGTCAGGGCTGGAGAAACATTAACCACAGCCACCTTGCTTCCCTACTCTGTTCTCCTTCATCCTCTGGGCTGGCTGACAGGCAGCAGGGGGTGATGCCTGCAGACTGTCCCATGACCAACCCCAAGCAGCACCCGGGGTGGGCTCCAGAGACAGCACACCAGGTCTTGGGGTCTGCTCTGCCACAGGATTCCCACCTGGCTATGGTCACTGCCTTAGTACTATGCAGCACCCTGCCTGGGCCAGGATAGGCTAGTCACCATGCTCTCTCCCCCAGGGAAGTGAGCCTGAGATCCTGAAGGTCCCAGGAGGGACAGGTGGGCATGAGAGAGGAGATATCTGGGCGATGTGGACCTGCAGTGCCTAGTAACACAGGGTCTGTACCCACACGCAGGGTAAATGAAAATCTAACCGATTAGAGAGTAGCTGATGATTTCAGCCAGAACAGAAACACATCCCAGAACCAACAAGCCAAGGCCAGAGGGACTGCCACGTCCCCCCTGCAGGCCCCAGGGTGCACGTGGTGTCAGACACAGAAGGCATGTGTAGAGGGGGTCGGGGGTTGGCTGGCTATGGCTGCTGGCACTGAGGAGGCCACCAGGCCAGAGGCCCTTGACCTGGGGCTGCCCAGTTTCTCAGCACAGGAAACAGTTATGGAGATGGATCAGGTGGACTGCTTCTGCCCCTCCATCACTGTATGGCCTGGAGGAGCCATTGGTCCTCTTTTACCTTAGCCCCCCAGGGAATGAAGAGGAAGGGGGGGCAGGAGGATGCAATCTGAGGTCTGACAGACTCTGCGTGGCCAGAGGTGGCTGCTAAGACCTTCTTCCAGGAAGCAGTTCCCGAGCCAGTAGGACCTGGGTTCAAGGCTGCTTCCTAGAAAAGCCCCTTACTCCTTTCCAAGGACAGGCGATAAAAACCAAAATAGCAGGACACCAGGGTTGGCGTACCTTTGAAAGCTTCAGTGGCGCCCGGTGCATGGTTCTTGTCTGGGTGGAATTTGAGGGCCAGTTTGCGGTAGGCCTTCTTCAGGTCCTCATCGGAGGCCCCTCTGCTCACTCCCAGGATCTCATAGTAATCTTTACACTGCTTGACCCTGGGGGAGGGAGAAGAGCAAGCCGGTAGGGGGAGGAAGCTCTATGTGGGCCTAGAGCTATGAGGTCAGGTGGGCAAGGACAAGCAGCGAGAGCACACAGCTCTGAGCACCCTCAGGGCCACAGGCTGTCAGACTTTGGGAACAAGGGAGCCTCAGAAAGCTCCAGTGGTGATGGGGATCTGGGCAGGGCGCAGAGGAAATACCAAGAATACGTATAGGGTTTAAGAGGGGCAGCTGCTGCGTTTGCCAGGCCAGGAACCTTTACTAACAGCACCCTCACTGCAGGCGACCTCACAATGACTGTCAACCAGGGGCCTTTGCCCAAGGGCAGGTGTGGCCCAAGCTGGGCCAGCTATCTCCTCTCCTTGCAATCTGAGTCTTGAATGGGCAACATAAAGGCCATGGCAGGTGTCTGTTCACCCCATCTCAGGGCCCCGATGAGACCCTGCTTCTCGAACTTTTCCAGGCACTCTTAACTCCCCACAATCAAGTTTCTGTTGCCTACAACCAATAGGTTTGTCTGGTCAGAAAAATGTAAATTTGGCACGTTTTTATGACAAACTACAATCGTGCTAGGTCACACTAGCAGGCTGAACCCAGTCCTGAAGTTTGCTGATGTCTTCACCAGCATAGCAGCCAGGACCACGTGGGAATGACCTCGGAGGTCCCAAGTCTAGCTAGCGCAGGGAGGCCTGGGGAGAAAAGAAAGCCTGGGAAGCCCTGGCTGGGCCATCTCGGCCTGGTAGTGAGGTGCTCCAAGCAGGGCCTGCCCAAGCCTTGGAGGGATGGATAACCGTCTCCTGTCTCTACTCACCCCACACAGGCTGTGGTCTGAAAGGGTCTTTGTTGGGGGCGGGGTTGTGCATT